GTTTTCTATATAGTCCCTACATTCAAACATACAACACATTCCCCTGGTCTTTTACTGTATGATAGAGGGACTCATGGAAAATGCATTTGTTATAGATCATCATAGCCACATACAGTATCTGTCCTGTTGACACCACACTCTCTAACCTAGCCACTTCCTCTCTGGTTTCTCCCTGTACCCTCATCCCTTCAAACAAGCGTGCTCTGTAGTGCCTGTTATGTGTACTATGTTCAAACAATTGGCTGACAGTTGATGGTCTTTTAAATTATATTGATTCCACCTTCACCTGTTACCCTTTCTAGATTCTCTGGTGTATTTCCTCCGCTTCACTCTCTGACTGTCTTTGTTTCTGTTTTGCTCTGTCTTTGTTTCTTCTCAGAGGCTGACCTTGGACTGCTTCACCAGGGAAACCAAATGAATAATCTCCCTGAACTACAGTGTTTGTGCACCAACCAGTTCTTTGGTCTAACAACAACACTGACCTTCAAGATTAGCATAACGTACACTACCGTGATTTCCCTACCAAGAGCCTGTGCTGTTTTCTCTCTCCTAAGGAGTGCAAGATAATGGCGAGCATGTGTAAAATGCATTTCTCAGTGCAGACATACAGCATGTTGTCATGTGATAGCCTATTCAATCATGCTGGGACTAACAGGTAAACTAAGCTGTCTTATGATTAAAGCAGACATAACACACTTTGAGCCTCTCTTGGCTCATATCACAATTTGTTTCTTTCACATTACAATAACTCAAAACAGACTAATTTTAATGAAATCTAAAATAGGGATCTAAAATTAACTACCCAGTTTGTATGTTTTCAGGGTGCTGTCCTAATAGCCTTGTGTTATGGAAAAGAAGAACATCATACTGTTGAGATGTAGCTGTCTTCTGCCCATGCTTTTCAATAAAAAATTTGAAACATATATTTCATAAAAAGAGTCTGTTGATTTTAAAAATATAAAAGTGGAGAGTAAACCAGTTACAGACAAATCCATTTTGCCTCAGTGAACAATGGTTTTGCATCCAAATTCACAATATCACAGAAAAATTAACAGGATCTTTTCCTGTCACACTAGTGCCCATTTATGAGTTTATACATTTTTACCATGACTGTGCGCTGCACATTCTTTTTTGAAGATGTCAAGATGCAATAACTGGGATAATTCACCACTATCTTATGGCTCTCTTTAGTGAGGGCCTCTAAAGGGCTCATTAAACACTGAATATGATGGGGCTATTACCGGGGATGAAATAGACAAAGCCTTAGAGACATGCAATCATTTTTACAGACTGGAACTCCTTTGTGCATCTGCTAAATGTTATTTTGATGTTTTTTCAAAACAACAGGAGTCTATGATTTTTAAAAACTGAGGCAAGCCTGCAGTACAACTGATAGCTACTGGTTTTGAAAGTGGAAAATACATTCATGTGGCCAGACCTTTTGAAAGAGAAGGCAAGAAAACAAACAAACAAAAAAAATCCAGTTCTTATTACCATACTGTACCATAAACTCATCTGGTCATTAAAAAAATATATTTTTTGTGGCTTAAATACAAAATGTGACAGCTTTTATCTTTGTCACTCCCTGACTACTGATATAATCAAGTCAAGAAGATCTAATGTAGAAAGTGCACAAATAATGAAAGTTGAAGGTAAAAA